ATGCCACTAACTGCTTCAGCCACACCTATCGTATACCCGGTGAAACAATGAACATCCTGGGTCCGACTGTCATGCATCTCTCCATAAGCAAAAATGCTAGTTGCTGCCTATTTCTACAGGAACTGGCTAGAGGTAATTCCATAAGTGAACGTAAATACGCCGTCATCAAATTGGCTCCGAGGTTTGTTTGTAACGCACGGGTTGCTGGAGACAACTGCCCCGACAAAGGCCCATAGTACCGAAGTAACTAGTATGCCTAGTTCCTAAAACACAAGGTTACCAGACATACGACAACTGTACCTTAAAATACTGCCGCAATTAGGATCATTGAGCGATTTAACCATGCCGCGAAAGCTTTCGGGGTACTTCTCGCATGATGAATTATTATTGTCGCTAGGCGAACAAACTCCTCGTGGTGTCAGCTGGAGGTGTCAAGTTTATTCCATTCAAGCACACAGTTTGGCGGCAAGGTTACAGGACATGGTTCGTTTTCGCCTGTCAAGCCTCCTCCCCATAAAGGCCGCAAATATCTGTGGCGGTGGCAACTTGCCATCAAATATCGACATCCCATAGCTTACCGGGACAACCGCTTCAAGTCCACAAACATCAAGCATCTCTTTAGCACTGGCGGTGTTATCAACGTTCAGGAAGACATTTACCAGACCCATAAACACGACTATCTGCGCCTACATACACACATATTTAAATCTATATATGTAAACGTATGGGCCAACCTTATTGCTTCATTATATATTAAATGAGCACCGTTTTGATACAAAAAATGATAATGCATGTACAGACGTGCCTCGGGTATTCAAGCATAAATAGTTTATTTATTTATTTATTTGCAAGTAGCCCAGCAGATTTAATGCTGGGGCGAAAGCAACGCACACGAGTATACGCAACTTTCGAATTCAAGAAAAGCACCCAACAGGCAGTACGATAGACGGGCTGTATAAAAGCGCCATTATAGACGTATTGAGAACACCTATGCCCCAGCGTCGCTTATAAAGTTCTAGCCAGCAAGCTTGCTGCATATGCTGAACGCCTACTTGAACGAAAGATGAAGCGAGACAAAGGCAACCGGATAGCGTGGTAACTTACAAGGCGGTCAAATCTCGAGCCGCATGTACGTCACCACGGATGTAAGGTAAAAGATTTTAAAATAAGGAAAAATAGGGTAAATTTAGTCGGCCGTACAATTGTACACTAAAGATAATACTTATCCTTTGGCGCGCTACTGCAATCCTCACATAGAGGGCCGAACAAAAGTAGCCTTCTATGTCAAAAATGACCAGTGAATCGAATTTGGTTAAGCAAAATGGGCACGCATGGGTGCATGGGCGTACGGGTCAAAATGCGATTCGACGGAGGTCGGTGTCTGCTGCGTCGTTTGTACTTTATTGTTTATTGGTTGTAAGGCAGGGTGCATTTCGGCCTACCTTAGGAGCCGGCTAGTCGGACTACCAAAAATGGCCTAGGCCAGAGGATGGCTGACAGGGCCTAAACCACCGCTACCGCCAAACGGTGCGCTTGGGTATTGTCTGTCCCTCCGACGCACTCCACTCCGGGTAAAAAGAACCAAAATTTCACTGAGCAACGACAATCGTCCTACGAAAAAGTGACCAATAGCCCGAGGAGAAACGATCAGCATTCTCGTCAGGATCTTCAATGACAGCGCCGCTCCTCGAAGACATTACGCTTGTGTGCCATTCGCTCGAAATAGAAGGGTTTATGTACATGGAGGCGAGAAAATAGCAAAACGCACGCAGAAAAAGCTAGAAAGTACGAACGACTGATCTGCGTGTCTAGGTTTTTGGAGGTTAACTATAATATAGTAAAGGTTTTGCGGAGGCATTTGCTTCTTTGTTTACAACACGTTAATTGAGCAAATCGGGAGAACCAAATACAATACATACGTATTTACGCTGTTCATTGTCGGAAAAATGAACGGGCTGGCGCGCCTTGCGACGACGGTTATTGGTCGTGGGAGGCGACTGGCTAGATTCGTAAGATGTGGAGACGGCTGATGCTGGTAGACCGTAAGCCTTGTTTGGTTGAATTACACTAGGTTGGTGCAAGTTGATGCGGTGCGTTTTGACGTCCCACAAAGGCGTACTAGACGAAGGAGGCGAGGTGGGTTTTTCCATAAAGGCAGGCTTCAGATGGTCGCTGGTGACGATTTCGCGCCAGCTATCGCGGTCGATCGTGTACGGCATATTCATCCGCTTCAGTACTTTGAATGGTCCTATGTACGGCGACTAAAGAGGAGGTTGAGCACAGCCTGGGCGAAGAAAGACGTGTGAACACGTAGACACCTGCTCGGGCACGTACACTTGTGTTTTCTGCGACCTAGGAAAGGCAGGACGCAGCTCACGCATCTGGCGAACTAATCCATGGGTAGAACTTCTGTAATCAAAAGTGGAAGTATTCGGGGCTGTTGCTACCAGACGTCCGAGCAACCGCAGCGTGGCCGTAGACTAGTTACGATGGTGTTGCAATGAAATCAGGTTTAAAAGTGTTGCTTAAGCCTATGAGGACGAGAGGGAGTGTTACGGACCATGAAGGATCTGCATGCTCATGTGGCGCAGTCTTCGCTCGGCGCTGAAAACGCTTCACTATGCCATTGGCCGCCGGAAGGTACGCCATTGTGTGACCTTGGCAAGAGCCTAACCGTTTAAGGAAAGTGGCACTAGCCGACGAGTACTGTGACCTTCGATCGGTGGTCGTGCTGGCGGGACGGCCTATTGAGTTACTCAGAGCTCAAGCAAACCATTCGCAACAGTTGCCGAAGAGCAGTTAGGTATGTGAAATGCTTCTGCCCACCTGGTGAATCAATCGACACAGGTCAGTCGATATAAAGAGCCTTTCGAAGACCAGGGGGACCTACGAGTTCGTTGTTCACGTGGTGAAAACTGCAGCTGGAGTGGTAAATATTTTTAGTGGGCTATTCGTGTGCTTATGCACTTACGCGCGTTGGCACGGAAGGCAAGCCGCTGTCCAGGTACTAAAGCCGCGATTGGTAGTCTACTAGACGAACGGTGTAAATGCTAGTTTAACCGATGCACGAACGTCTGGAAGAGACAAGCCCTGCAACTTGTCGAACGCTGTCTGTCGAAACTCCCGTGGAACGACCGGGCAGGGCGTGCCCAGAGAGAAGTCGCGAAGTCTAATTCCGTCTAATGAAGTCAGTGGAATGGGTAGTATATGCAGTGAGCTTTACCCGCGTAGTAGCTCAACCTCAGGATCGTTGAGTTACCCTGTGACCATGGCACCCAAGTCGCTAGCAGTGCCGACGTCAGCGGAGATAGCTTTATTGGGGAAGTGCGCCGGCGACGGCGTTGCTCACACCCGAGGCCTGCCGTCTCAGATGCCTTTGTTGAACTATGAACCGAAAAGCCTCCGGATGAGCAAAAAAGTTGAAACCAATAAAATTACTTACGGAACAAATGCGTACGCGTACATGATCGATAAAAACGAACCAACACCTCAAAACTTACAAACGATGACTAAAGTTGAAATTTGTGCGTGGGAAACGAGGTCAGCAATTTGTAGGAATAAAAAATAATATTCCGTGGCATGGCGAGAAATTAAGCGAGGTCCTCAGAAGGCAATTGGAGTCGGATACAGCGGACGGCATTGGATGGGCTACAAGAAGATTGGACGAATAAAGCGAGATAGGAGCAACACCATAGCGCGAGAACTTCAAAAAGGTCAAGTCTCGTGCCGGCGGTAGTTCAACATGGACGTAAGGTAAACGAGAATAAAACAAGACAGAATAGTGTACCGTTGATCATCAGAAAAATTGTGCGCAAATGATAATTGTTAGCATTTGGCTCTCTAGAATTTTAGCGAAGGGTAATTCCTAATTATGAGCTGTATACAGGAGCTTTACAGCGTCGTCGACTAACTCGATGCTTGGGTGGAACAACTTCAACCTCGGTAACTACATTCCCAGGACTCTACACATACAATCAAATTTAATGGCAATCCGCCGCAGAAACGTGGGACAGGGAAGGTAGACTTACTTACTACATAACCATTGTTTTGTTTCGGAAAACATATATATACGACATTTATTAACTTGCTAGTGGGTATGCATGCGGAACGACTTTCATGAACCTGTTAAACGGAGGCTAAGTCTCCCTTGAAGAGGTTCAGTGCTATTAACGTTGCAGTGACGCTTTGAATGTGTTAATGCCAACCAGATAATTTACTGCTGGTTGTACCTAAACTGGTAGCAACTATGACCTACTAAATGATCATCCTAAACATCTGCTTAACCAGGGTGCAACGGTAGCACCAATGACCCATTCGAGAATGCCAGCCAATAAGGGGCAAGTGCATATATTGCGAAAGATGCAAATTGAACAATTACTCAACCTTTACAATAACACATTACAATTTTAGGCAACTGAGCTTAACTGTTTTTAACGTTACCTGCAAAGCGTAAGTGTGTTATTCTGCCTCTTGCTTTCTGGCTAAATATTGCAGCTGTTGTGGTCTAACAGCTGCAAAATACCGCGAAGCACATCGGCAATAACCGCGGCACTTTATAGAAAGTAATCAAGAAATAATAAGGTTTCATTCGAGTTCAGCGTCAGCTCGTTTTCAATCCTTTTATTTGTTCGTCCTTCACTGAATAAAATTAAACCGCGCGTGTGAATTCTAGCGTAGCTGTTGGGCAAGCTTGTCTATTACAAAACGCGCGCTGTTTTTAGTTCCCTCATTTTTATCATTTTAGTTCGACGTCGTAAACCTAAAGGGACGTAAAACTTCTGCGAATTTAACGTGAGGTATATTGCAGCGCTATAAATTGTGTTCTTTACCTCTTCTTTAAGACCGCAAGATAAATATTGTTGGCCATCGTCAGGGCAGCATCGGTTGGAGTGATTAATTAATTATTGCATACCGTAAAAACAGCTTCTACTTTATTAACACTAGGTACTGAGATAAGTCCACACTCCTGCCGAAAATCTTTAGCTAGTTATCCCCCGGGAATGGTATCGATTTCCAACCCTGGTGATTGGCACTCTCCGGTCGGTCGGTTGGCCCCTGCTGTCAGTGCCGACTTCCGCGTGCTCGTTTCTGCCGTCACTTCACGTGCCATTCACCATGTCGGAATATTCCACTTTTCAGAACTTGTTGGTGCAACTTCAAAGTTCTGACAATAATATACGTACACAAGCTGAGGTTTACTTCGTTTTCATCTCATGTCATTGGTCTTCAGACTACTTATGATGCCATCCCTCCCACGACCCGGTTTACGTTTCTCTTGCAGACTCTTAATGATAAGGGGCTGCCTGGTCAGGTACGTCATTGATATTGACAATTTTGCTTTTGTGACGACAATTGGGAAACGCTTCCTAGCATAACATTGGTGGAGTGCAAATTTTTTCTTTCTAATAAATCTCATACTGATGTATATCTATCCTGTGGCTACTGCTTTTTCGTAGTTTCTATCTGAAAACAACAAACTGCTATGGCACCCGAATTCCTAAATTGTGGCAAAAGATGTTCAGGGCGCCCTCTGCGAAGGATGGCTGCACACAATCTGCTAAAACCTTGATGACGCCTTATACGAATGCCTACAAGTTACTGCCTCTCAGGTCATAAGCTCCCACTAGTAAATGACAGACTTCTCTTGGCTGACTCTCATCTCAATATATGTAACACTGCCGCCATAGCCGTGCCCAATTTAGATAAGCCACACTGTACCGGCATCCAGATCTACCACACCCACACCAAAGCTATGCCGCATTCCCTCCGTTACGTCGGCGGAATCACTACTTGCCAGTGAGAGGAAGTGTAGACCGGTAAACAAGTCCAAGAATTATGCTGCCGTAGCGAGCGCCACCGCTCTAATAACTTCCAGCTTGTGCCCAGCTGCAAGCACAAAGTGAAGCCTAACACCTCAAACTAGATGAAATCTGTACTTGATAGTAATGCAAGTCGAACAACAGCTCAAAAAGCAGACTTACGCACCAAGTCCATCGTCTCCGGGTAAAAACAGCACTCCTTCCCGTGACCGCTTCATACTCATCACTAACGTTTCTGAATGTAACCAAGACACCGTTGCTAAGAGGGTACTCCACCATCAAGCCTTCCTCAAGAAAATGGTATCAAAACTGTTCGAACAAGGGATTAACATCGTCTCTGCTTTTCAGCCTTGTAAAGAGACAGATGATTCGTCTAAGTTGCGCCCACTGAAAACCGTTTGTCAAGATGAGGAAGAATGCGGGCGCATTCTGCGACGGACTTCACGCCTCAAAGGAGAAACCTTTTAGGTTCTGAAAGCTCTCCCCAGAGGACTGAGTCGAAATGAGACGTGCTGTTATTGAGCACGATCGAATGCTGGGACCGACTACGTTGTGGATTTTCGCGTTGTGCAGAAAACTCCGATAGAGGCCAATCCTTCTCCCCGGACCCCAAGCGTAAATTCTGAACCACTGCTGTTTGCGAAAGTACGCAGTCTCATAAACAAGCTACATGAGATTCAACACTTTTCAGAGCAGCGACCGGATCTAATGGCGTTCACACAGACCTGGCTATCATTAGAGATGTCGGACTCAGAGCCTCAACTTCCAGCTTATCAGCTCTTTCGATCTGATCACTCCAGTCAGAGATCTGAAGGTGCATTAATCCACTATTCCAAATCAACGTTCTTAAAACGGACTGCGACAACGATGATACGTCAGAAGTACTCTGGTGTCGAATTCACAATTGCTTCCATTTGCTGACGGTCGAAGTAGTCTACAGACCCCCATCAACATTTGGCTCCTACCTCCTGCACTCAAATACGTACGCCACGAACTGTCTGCTTATGGGGGATTTCATTGCTCCCGGCATCAACTGAGACCTTTTTCTTAGTGACCTTCCCATGGAGTCTTTTGAAGCTCGTCTATTAGACACTGTCCTTGAATGTTGCGTCACGCAGCGCGTCCTAACACCAACGCGGCCGCTCCCAGGCCAAACATCTCACATACTAAACCTGGTACTCTTTTCCTATCTGACGTCTCCTATCTAACGATCATCCATCTACTGGGCAAGAGTGGCCGTTCTGTCATCTTCTAGTGGACAAGCCTTAAAATTCATGACCAGGTGGGACCTCGTCGCCATTTCTGTCGATCCGATCAGTCCGCACTTAAAGTAGCGGCAAATACCCTGGATTGGAATATTCCACAGTCTTTGGATCTCCACGGTGCATGGCAGCTACTACAATCCATGGTGGTGCTGCTGCTTATCGACAACACGTTCCAAACTGCAAAGCCAGGCCTCACTCCAGACGCCCCCAGTGGATTGCTAGAGCAGTCAGATCCTTGCTGATTACTACAAGTTCACACAACTAGCATCGAGGTACTCAAAGTAAGAGGCCGTAAGATACCTTTGCACCCTGAAAAATCGCAACATGCGACTCCAGTACGACCGCAGCCGGACCACGGAATCCCTAACTTTTCTCTTACTTGAAAAGAAATGTCTTGGCTGGTAGTGGGATCCCTATGCTACTCTCCGAGGAAGGTACTATGCTTCACGATGACGAGGAAACAGCCAACATATTAGTTTCGCAGTACTCTTCGGTCTACTCATTGAAGCCCCCTCTACACAGGAACTGCCTGCACAGTCCCTCTTTGGATCAAATCGAAATCAACCCCGATTTGGTGATGAAGTTCCTCTAACTGGATCTGGACTCTTCTGGCCCGGATGAGCTGCATCTCGTATTCCTTAAGACTATAGCCGAATACATCGCTGATCCCCTCTGCCAGATATTTCGCCACTCCCTCGAAGTCGGCCGTTTACCCACTGACTGGAACGAAGACAGTGATGCCCAAGTACAAGGGCGAAAACCACCGCATGACATCTGTCGTCTGTAAGACCATGGAACGGATCCACAAACGCGCTTCAGCTATACTGTGAGAAGTACGACGTAATTTCACCATCCCAACATGGTTTACGGAAAACACGTTCCTGTGTCTCGAACTTGCTAGTCGCCAGAGGAACTTGAGCATAAGCCATGAATGCCTAAAAATATATAGTCATTGTCTTCATGAACTTCAGCAAAGCCTTTGAAAAAGTTCCCCAACAAAGACTGCTCATACTTCGGGAGATGGGTGTGACGGACAAAGTCCTCTCTTTGATCTCCGACTTCCTAAGAGAACGCAGCCTACGCGTGAAGGTCAATTAAAACACCCCCGCCCCTGTGCCGATAACAAGTAAGGTTACACAAGAATTCGGTTACGCTCCAAACCGACTGCTTGATTTACGCTGATGATCAAATGCTCTAGTCAACAGTATGTGGCCTAGACGATCCGATAAATTACTGGAGGCTCTATATAGGCTGCACGCGTGGTCTACCAAGTGGCGATTAGCTGTACATCGCGATACATGTGCGGTTCTCCCAAGGGATAAAACTGGCCCATACTGCACGTAACAAATTGGTGCATTACTTCTCAAGAAAGCATCTTGAGATCATCGTATCCTCCGACCTTAGGACCTCCTAGGACACACTGAAGAAGGTCGCAGCTTCAGAGACTTCTAGGTGCTTTGAGGTCGTTCTCCCGCATGGCTGCTGAGATCTTCCGACCTCTATACACCGTATGGGTACGTCCCATACTAGAATATGGAGTCAGCCGTTTTTCTCCTCTTTAAGTTTGTATGCTCTTTGCTAAAGAGGTATGCCTCGAAAGCTGTCTTCTGATTCCGCGATATTCCTAACCCTTTCCGAATTCACCAGCTGAACCTGTTTTCCATGAAGTTTCGCCGTTACCGCGACGATCATATCTACACTAGACGCATCCTTTTTGGTGAACTCGAAAACGAGCTACTGCAGTCCTTCCACCCCAACGACATGAGGTCACAATTGAAAGCTGTCCAAACCACGAAGGCTCCACGCTTGCTGAGACCTCACCCGGGTGGTAAATGTGTGGAACAGTTTACCTAAGGAAATTGTCGATGCACCTTCGGAGCAACGTTTCAAGAAGCTTTTAGAGAATCACTTAATGAAGACGCTGGGATGCCGCTGCAACTGCGACGAGCCATCAAGAAACGTCGTCACACCACGACACTCAGCTAAAAATCGACGGAGCTGACAAGGGTTCTCCCCTCTGCTCTCTACAACCCAATGAATTCGCATCAATTTGGAAATTTACCTAGGTATAGTGTTTCTTCATTGAGTTATAGAGAGCAGAGGAAGATCCCATCACCCGGTTCAGAACAGGAACATATGTCATTGCGACCAGGAGTCCTAGTGGGCTGGAGCAGTCACAGTAGAACAGTGCATTCCTCCTGTCTTGCACAAGTGGGAGTCTAAGAGCTGCTTGAAACCTTTCTCAGACTGAGCACTGATGGTGGCGGTTCCAATCGTTTATCACCTGGATGGATAGGGGGAAAGCAGGGTGAACATGGAGCCTCCTCGATTTTAAGAGTTTTAAGTCGTGACCTCCTCTCGAGCCTCCTGTAGTGAGCTGGAGACATTTGTATTTCGTTTCCACGTTCCCTCCTTAGTATGCGCCTGGCGAAGATGAGGTCCTCTCGGCAGCGATGGTAGCCCAGCGAGAAAAGGTTCATCTGTTGGAAACGAAGGGAGTAGGAGTGCTTCCGATGTCTAGAGACAAACTTCGACCCCACGCCTCTGGATCTTTGCAATCAGGGTACATTCCAATTTTGAGAGTGGAAAGACAGCTAGTAAGCCATACTTGAGAATTGGACGTACGTGAAGAACAAACAGTCCTGAAGATATCCGTTGTCATTCGGGTGAATGACCTTCTTATGGCAGAGCACGCCGTGTTAACAGCGGTCACTCTCCTCAGCCTATCCTCTATCGTCCTTAGGTTAGAGGTAATTATTACACCAAAGTCTTTCTCTTGAACAGCATTCTTGAAAAGGAAACCACCAATATAGTAAATACCGAGTGGCTAAGACGCGCCTATTGGAAGGATGCAGCATTTTTCATAATTTATTGGTAGGCCTCATTTGATGGACCACTGGTGTAGTAAATCCAGCGAGTCATGTAGTCTTTCAATGGCATCAAGGTCGGGTACCTCAGACCATAGCTTAAGATCATCTACATAAATTGGACATTCCTTTTCTAGTAATCCAAGGTCGTTACTGAAGAGCTTGCAAAGTTCCCGCCCAAGTACAGAATCTTGTGGAACTCCACTAGTCATGTGCACTGGCTGAGAAAGTGTCTTCTTTACCTTCGCTTGCATGGTTCTTCCGTCTAGACAATCCTCGATCCAGGAACAAAGGTTGCCACTGACACCAATTTCGCTAATCTTGCGGGGTAGCCGTTTATGTGATACCTTAGAGTATGCT